CCTCAGTATTTTGTACCGAGGACAATTTATGCAAAGCCCTTTGAATATTAAAGTGTTATTATCCGTGCTATTATTTCAAGAAGCTCAGTTTTTCTTATATCTGATGGTTATTTGTCTGCCACAAAAACACATAGAACTGTTGCACGAAATATCATTATATCTAATAACTGTCGCTAGCCCCCATCCCAGTCACGAAAGTAGCAAAAAACTATCTACAGACAATGTAGATACTGCTAAGGAGGATCCTTCCCCAGGCATGCAGAAAAATGTGACTTTGTAAGTTTATCTAAACAAAAGGGGGAAAAAAGAGAAAACAACCTGATGAGTGCTGAATATGACCAAGGATACAAGGGATATTGAGAACACTTTTGAGTTATTTAAAGGGGGGGGGGTTTGCAAAAAAACTTGCGTGCTCAAGGCCATAGAGGATCCTGGAGAAAACTGGGGAGTGGGATTTTTCCGAATAGTTCCCCTCCCATAACACCTCCCCCCCCTCTCATCTCACTTGATAACAACTTTGTTTACACCACCTTGTGGCCAACACATGACAAAAGAAATGTCTCTGCCTGTTTCAGATATACGTCCGCAGCACCGATTATGACCGCACCATAATGAGTGCTCAAGCTAACCTGATGGGGCTCTATCCAAGCTCAGACCCTGAGATTGCCTGGAAACCGGTTCCCATCCACACAGTGCCTGTTAGGTATGACAAGGTAAACGAGTAGGAAACTGTTGTGCTGAGTTCTTTGCTCTGTTTATGTAATGGTCTATGTTCTGTGCCACAGCATTTTGTGCCACATGACATAAGTATAGCCTAATGGATCAGCTCAGGAAGTGACTTCTTATAAGGGACAAACTTTTCCCACGTTGTTTTGTTGCCTTCATCAGTCTTTTGTTTGCTTGTGCTCTTTTCCCAATCATCCAATCCCAGCTCCACTGCCTTATTTTGTTTTATTAAGAAAATTAATTAATTATCATATGTAGGGTTGCCAAATCGATTTTGCCCGGGAGTGGGGGGCTCCCAACTGGCGTCAACCTTGTGCGCGCGCGCCGCGTCCGCGTCACCCGGAAGTGACGTCACACGCTGGGGGCGGGGCCACGCCATTTGAGGGGGAAGCTCTTTGTTTTCCCCTCAAATGGAGTGGGCCCGCCCCCAGCATCCGACGTCACTTCTGGGTGACGCGGACGTGGTGGTGGAAGAGCATCCCTGACAAGGGTTTGCCCAGCCACTGCTTCAAGACTGTCAAATGAGGGGGAGCTCACCACCTCCCCAGGCCGCTGACACCACTGTTTCACAAGTATTACCCTCGGCTGGCTTCCAAGTTGGCCACGCCAAGCAGGAACTCATTAGCATAATAGGCTACACCCAACAGCAGGAACTCGTTAGGATTGGCTACATTAGGGGTGTGTGGCCTAACATGCAAAGGAGTTCCTGCTACAAAAAAAGCCCTGGGTTTTGACCACAAACAAGGTAAACAGAATAAGAAGCAAAAGGTGGGCGTGGCTGGATCACCACACTTCTGGTAACATGGGTGTGTGGCCTAATATGCTAATGAGTTTCTGCTGTTGGGTGTGGCCTATTATGCTAATGAGTTCCTGCAGTCACATCATTTTGTACCCAAATCTTTAGTTTCTGTTTGACAAATGGCATCGGTTGGACTTCTGGTTTCTCAAATTCGGCCCGTCTTTCTTACTTGTACCCTACAGCTACTGAAGCCGCCAACACGGACCTGCCTACGATACCAACAGCTGATGGAGGAGACAGTTAATTTGCCCAGCTATCAGGCAAAGATGAAAGCTTCCCTGGTCTTTCTCATACCTGTCGTTTGCCCAGCCCCACTCTATTCCTCTGTTTTACTAGATCTGAGTCCTGTAGAACCTTAACGACCAACAAGATTTTAGGGGTATAAACTTTTAAGAGTGAAAGCTCCCTTCATCAGACACTCAAAAGCCTATGCCCCTTGGTATGATCTTGTTGATCTCTATGGTGCTACTGGACTTTAGCTGTCCTATTCCAGATCAACACAGCTCCACTCTGAATCTGTTTTACTAGAAGTCTTTGCTGATAGATTCAGGGCTTCTTTTCTGGGGGGATGTGCTGGAACATACGTAGTTGCAGAATCTCCTTGACATTTTAAAATGTTTAAAAGTTCATGAGTTTTTAGTCTACAGATTGAAAACATTTCCCTCTTGAGAGTTCCGGCACCTCTTTTTCCAAAAGGGAAAAGAAAAGAAAGCCCTGGTTAGATAGGAATTTTTTTCATCATACTTTGTAATTTGCTCGGTGATTGACTGAACTGTCCGTATCATATCTGTGTAATCTGCCTCGAGTCCCTGGGGAAAAGGCAGACTATAAATGAAGCTAATTAAAAATAACGAAAGCATCTCATTTGGACTAATGAACATATAAATTCTACGTTCACACTGTATTTACTTTTTAAATTTGATTCTTCAAAGAGTTACCCTCCGATGCATTTCTTCGTGGCTTCCATACAACACGGTCACATCATTTTGTACCCAAATCTTTCGTTTCTGTTTGACAAATGGCATCGGTTGGACTTCTGGTTTCTCAAACCAGTCTTTCCTACTTGTACCCTACAGCTACTGAAGCCGCCAACACGGACCTGCCTACGATACCAACAGCTGATGGAGGAGACAGTTAACTTGCCCAGCTATCAGGCAAAGATGAAAGCTTGGAAGGTACCAGAGAAGGGGGTTAAGAATAGGAGGAAAAGCAAAAAAAAGAAAAAAGAAAGAAAAAAGTTCTGAGGAAAAAGTTTCTCTCCTCCCATTTCACAGAAATGGAACCTGCTGAGCAAACATGAGGTAGTTGCTGATGAAAAACCATTTCCATGCGGTGGGGGCTTCCCACTGCAACCATAATATCTTTAATTAGCTCTGACGTAGTCTGGTGAAGTTGGGGAATACCCAACCCAGTGCTAAATCTCTCAGGGGGTTGGAGACTAGCATGGCTGCTTAGGACAGAACGCAGCTGATCTGTGAAGGAAGCCGCTTCGGAGGGCTCAGGCAGCTGTGTGGAAATTACTCAGCGGTAGAGCATGTGGTTGGCAAGCAGAAGGTCCTAGGTTCTAATACCCAGCAGCATCTCCAGTTAAAAGGATGAGCTAGTAGGTGATACAGGAAAGAACAAGAGTCCAGCAGCACCTTAAAGACTAACAAAATATGTGGCAGGGTGTGGGCTTTCGTGAGCCACTGTTCACTATATCTGAAGAAGTGAGTAGTGACTCACGAAAGCTCCTACCCTGCCACATAATTTGTTAGTCTTTAAGGTGCTGCGGTGGCTCAAGTGGTTAAGACGCTGAACTGCAGGCTGTGGAAGGTAGGTAGTTCAGCAGTTCGAGACCCGAGTTGCCGCATGATGGAGTGAGCTCCCATCTCTAGTTCCAGCTCCTGCTAACCTAGCAGTTCGAAAGCAAGAAATTGCAAGTAGATAAATAGGTACCACTTTGGTGGGAAGGTAACAGCGTTCCGTGCACCTTGGTGTTTAGTCATGCCGGCCACATGAGCATGGAAACGTCTTTGGACAGCGCTGGCTCTTCGGCTTTGAAACGGAGATGAGCACCGCAACCCTAGAGTCGGATTCGACTGGCTTTCGAGCAAGGGGAACCTTTACCTTTACCTTTAAGTGCTACTGGAGTCTTGCTCTTTTCTACTGCTACAGACAGACTAACATGGCTACCTATCTTGATCTGTCTCCACAGTAGGTCATGTGAAACTCCTCTGTCTGAGATTCTTGAGAACTGTCCTCAGTCAGAATAGCCCTGATAGACTGGGGAGTCTAATTAATTAATCATCGTATGGCATCGTGCGTGGAATAGCCAGGAGATCCCGGAAGGGATTGTTTGGCTGCCAAAGCTGGAGCTCTTTTTTGGCACCACTAGGTGGCAAGCTATGCTAATTTTTGGCCAAGAATGCTTTTCACCCAGCTAGCTTCAAGTGGGGAAGTCAGGAATTGAACCTGGTTTTCCATATTAGAGGCCGCCCTCTTAACCACCACAGCAAACTGGCTCTCACTGGAGACTCTGCCACAGTATAAGGGAACCCTGTGAGTGTTTTGTGCTGATCACCCATCAGTTTTGTGGAAGTTGTCAGCTGTAGTTCATTTGTAACATTTGGCTATAATGTGGGCAGAAGGCCAGGCTATAAGATTCTGAAGAGACCACCAAGATTGCCAACTGACTAGTTTTCCTTAGCATTAATGTTTTCCCCCCTCTGGACTGTTGTTGAGTGACACTGGAGGGGATTCTTTGATCTCACCCCAGAAGCAATCTGAGACCTTGTAGTCATGAGGGAAACAATAAACAAACAGCCTCTCTCCTACTTCCCACCACCTGAAGTGATTTGAGTTGTTGATCGTAAGGGAGAAGCTGGGGGTGGGATGTGTTGCAGCCGGGTTTACAAAAAGCCATATTGGTCTACGCAAAACCCAAATTTACCAGCGGGAATGCAAGGAAGCCCCGCGAAGGCCCTCCCTAGCCCCAGGCAGGCACGGGTGGGGAGAGGCAGGGAGGTAGCAACTTACCCTCCCTCTTCTCCTGCCTCCTCCTGGCTGAATGAGGGCCGGAAGCGGGGCGGCCGGAAGCAGGGGGCGGAGCTTCGTCATGTGCCCCGCCCCCGTACCTCACCCGGGGGAACTGCATTCCCCCCCGAAATGACCTCTGCCAGCTCTTAACCAGAGATTTCCAAGGAGGCTTTCATATAATAACTACAACTAAAACAGATTCAGGTGGGTAGCCGTGTTGGCCTGAAGCAGCAGAACAAAGTGAGTCCAGTAGCACCTTCAAGACCAACAAAGTTTTATTCAAGGTATAAACTTTCGGGTGCAAGCACACGTCTTCAGATACTGAAGAAGTGTGTGTGTGCACACAAAAGCTTATACCTTGAATAAAACTTTGTTGGTCTTGAAGGTGCTACTGGACTCAAACTTTGCTCTACAATTAAAACAATCAGTGAATAGGCAACAATAAAAACAGCAGCCCTAACAGCCCAAGACAAAACCAGCACACAGAAAGGAGGGAGAGGAGCCCTGCAGGGATCTTCAGCCAACATAAAAAGAGCCCTGATGGATCTGACGAAAGAGCCACAGTCCAGCATCCTGTTGCCCACACCGCTGAACCATACAGGCCCACAAGGAGGGGCACAGAGACCAAAGCCTTCGGTGACTGATAATCAGTGATATATTGCCTGTGGACATGGAAGTTCCATTTAGCCATTGTGGCTAAATGTCCTCCATGAACCTGACTACTTCCCTTTCAAAACCACCTAAGCTAGTGGTCATCACTGCAGCCTGCAGCAGCCAGTTCCAGATGTTAATTTTATGTTTGGTGTTGAGAAGTACTTTCGTTGGTTTGTCCTGAATCTTTGTTGTTCAGTCGCACAGTCGAGTCCGACTCTTCGCGACCCCATGGACCAGATCACGCCAAGCCCTCCTGTCTTCCGCCGTCCTCTGAAGTTTGCTCAACTTCATGTTCGTTGCATCTATGACACTGTCTAACCATCTCATCCTTTGCCGTCCCCGTCTTCTTTGAGCTTCAGACTTTCCCAGCATCAGGGTCTTCTCCAGTGTGTGCTCCCTTCTCATTTGGTGGCCAAAGTGTCCTGAATCTACTCCTGATCAATTTTGTTGGTTGACTCTTAATTCCTAGCATTTTGGGAGAAGGAAAAAAACAAAATGAACAAAAAGGCCAGGTGAATAGGAAAATGAATAATTTGGCACCTAAATCTAACAGGACTAGGCATTCAATGGGCAGTTCTGGGAAAAGGAGTTCCATAATCAAGGTGTCACCATAGAAAAGGCCCTGCTCCAGTAGCCACCCATGTCACCTCTGCAGATCAGGTTACTTCTCAGGCAGGTTCAAGTTCCCAGTCTAATTATTCAACTTTCTCTCCCTTGCAGGGCTTCATAACAGCGATGGCCAACTATACAGGCCTAAAACCTGAGCATCTAACCCTGAGGGGCCTTTGGAGGGTACACGATACCCTCTTTTGCCAGGTAGGGAGACTGTACCTCATTATGACTCCTCCCTCAGCAATAGAGGACCTTCAGTCACACCTTTCTTTCTCGTTCTTTGGAAGAAAACCCACAATCTGAGCTTGCCTAGCTGGGCCACGCCGCAGGTCCTGACCACACTTCAGGAGATGGAAGCATTCAATGTCGAAGCCCACGTGGGAATGCACGGCAGCCAAGGGAAGGCCCGATTTACTGGAGGTACTGAGGACAGATTCTCAAATAACTTTTGGAAAGCGGAAACGACCAGCGGATAAGATGTGATAACAGTGTCAAGTCAGTTTCATCGGGTGACTCTTCTATGCCACTCTGCTGCTGAGTTAAAAGCCACCTTTCTCCAACAAAAGAACCTCAGAGGAAGAACCTAACATGTGAATGCTCTGTTAGAATTGATCAGAAAACCTGATATGAAACAATTAGAACTCAGGCGTGATTCTGGGCTGCTCTCATGCTACAGGTGTTAGACTAGACTGGTAGGTCTAGCAAGATTCTGGCAGTCACTGGTTACCACTGTGCTTACCTTCTATTTATTTATGTTATGTATTTTTATTTTATTGATTTATTACATTAGGTTAGTACCCCGCTCTCTCTCGAGCGGGCTCAGGGCGGTTCACATCAAAGTCGTATAAAACACAAAATCCATTGAATAATTTAAAATACAGTTCTAAAGCCCAATAACCATATGGCACCATCATACAATTCTGGCCCCCCGATTTACATTAGCAATGGGGGAAGAAGGGTGGAAGCAGATTGTGAATCAAACGGTTCTTAAGAACTATTACAGTCCGCCTTTCTCCTTGAGACTCAAGGCGGATTGCATAATGTGAGCAATGTTCCCTCTAAGCTTGTGAGCAAAAATTCTACTTGGTGAGCAACTGGCATTAAAGTTGTGAGCGAGCGATTTGGCTATGGCATAAATTGGTTTGCTCTGGAGCCCTCCTTCCTGAGCTAAGACAAAAATGTGTGAGCCGTAGCCTAAAAAAATGTGAGCTAGCTCACACTAACTCAGCTTAGAGGGAACACTGAATGAGAGTTCAATCAGTAGGAAGAAGAGACATCTAATAAGCAATGTAATAGAACTAGGATTGCAGAGATCCGAAACAAGGCATAGGTATTAAATGTGACATGTTAAAGAATGCAAGTAACTGTACGGGTGGTGGGAAAGGACCATCAAGGTGCAGCCAACGTACGGTGACCCTGGAGGGTTTACAAGGCAAGAGATGAACAGAGCTGGCTTGCCGTCACCTGCCTCTGTGTAGGGACCCTGAACTTCCTCAGGGGTCTTCCATCCAAGTACTGGCCAGAGCCAGACTCAACCCTGCTTAGCTTCTGATGAGATTGGGCTAGCCTGGGCTATCCATTTGAGGACATAGTAGCACAGTGGTATATGTTCTGGCTTTGCAGAGAGAAATGTGCCAGGTTAGATTTCTTGAAATTCATGTGCTTTTCTCTTGTAATATATTTTAATATTCTAAAGGAAAAGTGGGGATACAGAAAAGAAATGTCATGTGCTTTTGACCACTGTTTACTACTCCCCTCCCCCAAGGACCGCATTTGAGCATGTAAACATGATGTCAGGCAGCTGAGGACGCACTCTATGCACAGGGCTGGTGCATGGCACTTTGTTGTCCCAAGCAGGCGTGCTGCCAGTTGGCTCCTGCTGTAGGAGCAAACTGAGGCTCTAGCAGGACCGTGGGGCTCGGCTTGGACCTTGCAGCACTAACCGTGCCATCAGGGCCTGGCTGAGACCCAGCAGCACAGGCACAGGAAGTCACCACACAACAGCCTGTGTGTGTGCACCTGTGACCTTTTCCGGCATCAATTCTGGCCAGCAGAAAGCCAAGCCCCAGCAGCCCTTGTGCCACCAGAGACCAAGCCTTGTTTGTGCATCTGACAAAATCCATGGCAGCTTGTGCCACAATAAAGGTTTTATCTTCAGTCCCCTTTTTGCTGTTATGGATGGATGTGTTGTTCGATAGCAACCCCCAAGTGACAGGAGCTGGTATTTGACATGCTGGAAAGAGTCTGAGATGTGGCTTCTGAAAGGCCAGGTCCTCCAAACTGGTTTCTCCTCCAGGCTTGCAGCAGTGCTGCCTGAAGTGACGCAGGACTTGCTGCACCACTCTTGCCCCTGCCTCTGGTTTACAGAGCTGGTGTTGCTGTGCTTCTTGATCTGCATTCCCCCTTTCTCTCTCTCTCTCTCTGCAGGGCTGCTCCTGGGTGCCATTCTGAGCAACTTCTCCAAGGTTGTGTGCAGAGATCTGCCCCTGAAGATGGTCATGTATTCTGCAGTAAGTCCTTTCCCAGCTGAATGTTTCAAAGGGCCAGATGCAAAGGCACAGAGAGTCAAGGCCAATGTTCCCTCTAAGCTGTGGGGTCTTGTGAGCAAAAATTCTTCTCTGTGAGCTCCTGGCATTAAAGTCGTGAGCGAGCGATTTGGCTGCTGCATGAATTAGTCTGCTCTGGAGTCCTCCTTCCTGAGCCAATGAGCCAAGACAAAAATGTGTGAGCCATGGGCTAAAAAACTGAGCTAGCTCACACTAACCCAGCTTAGAGGGAACCCTGGTCAAGGCTCTCTAAGGATTTATTTACATTTACACTCCACCTTTCTCCCTAATGGGGACCCAAAGGAGCTTACATAGTTCTCCTCTCTTCTGTTTTATCCTCACAACAAGCCTGTGAGGCAGGTTAGGGAGAGTGTGTGACTGACCCAGGGTCACCCAGCAAGCTTCCGTGGCAGAATGGAGACTCAAACACACACCTCCCCAATCCCACTCTAACCACTACACCACACTCACTGTATGTGCATCGTGCTTCCCAGTGCCTTGTTGTAAATCCCTTGTAATCCTTACAGAAACCCTGTAAGGTAGGAATGTAAGAAGAGTAGCCTTGTTAGCCTTTAACAGCAAAAATGGACAAGTCTTGTGCATCTCCAAGACATTAAATGAGTTTGCTTTCATGGACTAGAGATCACTGTTAGATGCATCTTCATATATGTGTACATGATATGCATTTGATGAAGAGAGCTCTGGCCCACAAAACCTTATGCCAGGATAAAAACTTGCTAGTCTTAAAGGTGGCATGAGACTCCTGTTCATGTTTCCTAAGATAGGTCAATATTATTACCCCCCACACACACTGCAGATAAGGGACTGAGCCTAAGGGAGAGTGACTCACCCAAGCTGGCATTTGAGCTGGGGGGTTACTTGATCCACAGATCTGTGACCTAGCTACTAAGGTCTCCCAGCTAAAGACAGGACCCTGAGAAACCTGAGCGCCTTCTCTGCACAGAGCTGTGTGAATGAGTTTTTCAGTGTTCTGAGAAGTCTGAGAACTGTTGTCTTCCCTCTGAAATACACCTATAAATGAAATGTGCAAATTCAAGATCCCGTTTACAGCATGAAATTAAAGGGGGGGGGGACAATGCCCCCCTCCAGGGTGCGAATGTTATCATCCAGTCTGTCATTGAATTAGAATACAATGCAGTTGACTGAACAGGATTTAGATGGGTGAACCTAGTATTTTAGGTAGGGAGAGGGTACCCTAGTGTATCACTGTATGTACACTCACGTTTTGATAAATTATTTCTGCTTCCCTGACCTGATTTAGCACGACAGCACCTTAATTGCCCTGCAAGGGGCACTGGGCATTTACAACGGTCACCCCCCACCATATGCTGCCTGCCACGGATTCGAGTTCTACCAAGAAAGCAATGAGTATGTCTACTTGATTACTTTTATTTAGAAATGTGGTGATTAGGTATGCCCTGTGAAGATTATCCCTGCAGCTACAAAGAAATAATAGTTGTAGACATTGCAGTGAGGACTTTGCTGGCACATTCAGAGAAGCCAGACATTGATACTGGCTGATGACTCAGTCTCCTGCCCTTAGCTTTCCCAGCATGTCTGGTTGACCTCTGTAATTGAATGCTGGATTATTATTATTATAATAATACTTCTTTCAATTTATTAATCGCTTTCCCCAGTGGGCTCAAAGCGATGTACAGTTACACATTTTAGACAGGGGACTAACAATGTTCATAGGCGATAGGGAAGACAACATGTATTCATTTAATTGCACACGCTGTCACTGCACGTGGCTTGGCTCAGTCATTTTCCGAGTATCTGAGGCACTGTGACCAGTGGCACTGAGACACATCTTCCACTGAGCCTTCCCATTGTCTCCTCTCGTTCCAGCTCATTCAGTGTGTCCATGTTCTATCGCAACGAAAGCAGCCAACAACCCCACACATTAACCTTACCTGGCTGCCCCACACCTTGCCCCCTGCCGCTCTTCATTCACCTTACACGTAGGGTTGTGCCTCAGGACTGGGATGCTGAATGTCAAAACCCCCAAGCAGGGACAGGTAAGGACAGAGACTGCATTTCCCCCCAGCCTCATTCTCTCCCCGTTTTCCCCCCTTGGGGCAGAGGAGTCAGGCAAAATCCACTTACACCCATTCCCTCATTTCTGTTTGCAGGACGCACCATCACTGCTTTGGCTGTCCTAGTAGGTCTGCTGAGCGTGGCATTAGTCGGCGTGTGCGTCTTGTACTGGAGGAGGTGAGAAGACGGACCAACGGCAACAAGGGAAGCCCCATACCACAATAAAGACAGCCACCTTTGTTTTTTGTGGGAAGTGTGGCTTTGTCGTGGCCTACTAGGTCCCAGTGCAAGGGATGCTGGGAGAAAACAGCAGCGGCTCATAGTCAAGGAGCCAGCTCCTTTATGCTGCAGGAGGAGAGATTGGTATAGGTTTTCTCTCTTCCCCCCTTTCCACCAAGGAGCTCTTCACTGAACACACAGGTTTCCCTTCCTCCACTTTCTTCTCGCTGGGGAGGCTGAGAGAACATGACCAGCCCAAGGTCACTTGCCCAAAAAGCAATGTTTTCCCAGTCCTACTCAATCACGAACTACTTCCTCTACGGACTGTAAGGAGAATGAAAATAAGATATCTGCCGTTGCATGCCCACCCTATCTGTGAGGTCCCCGTGTGTGCACAGTTCACTCTCCTGCACCACAAAATTTCCCCAGTGAGCCAATGGAGGGAGTTCAGAGCTGCACTGTGTGGACCTTTGGGCCTGCGACACCAAGATAATCCTTTGGAATGAAGGCTCTACATGATCCTTTTCAATGTCTGACACTCCCATACACTGAACTTCCCCCCACTAGCAGGGATATCTGAATTTAGTCCTTAATTATGATGGCAGTCCTTGGAATTGGGGGGGGGGAGAGAGAGAGACTGGCAGGCATTCCAGGCAGAGTGAAACACAGTATGAAGCAGTATAATTGCCAAACATGATTTATGGTGTCAGGTTATCCTACTTGAACTCACCGTCACTCCCCGCTTCTACTACTTGCCTCTCTGATTTTATCCCTCTAGCCACCTAGTTCTTCCCCTCCCCTCCCCCCCAATCTGAATTTTACTAAGAGAACAAAGCAGCATGTATTAAGAAAAAGAAACAGACAATCATGTATTGACTTCCAACTGCTTTTAGAATTTTATTTGTCATACAGCACATACAACAATCCCTGCCCAAAGAGATTAACTGGTATCAGAAAGTGCAAAACTAGATTTGTTGGGAATCCACTTGAAAAACTCTTGGACTTCTGCATGGCCAGCCCCATCACTGGTGTGTGTGACCGCAGCCAGTGTTAGCTCCAGGGCATCTGTATACTCCAAACAGGCAGCCTAACATCTCACTGTCTTTTCCCAGATATCCATGCTGCTACCATGGGTTAAATCTGGCCAACAGGCTGCCAAGGCCCCAGCACCTCCCCTCAGTTAAAATTCTATCTCTAAACCCAAATTGTGTAATACATTCTTTAGGACCAGCCAAAATAACCTACATGCTTTCTCAAGTTTTCTAGAACTTAAAAAGGGGGGGGGTTGGGGGGGGAGAAGAAAATGTACCATTCAGGCCCCTTAACACTTTTTATTTGCATCCTGTATAGAATGCATTTGAGTCAAGTGGTGCCGGGTGGAGCTAGTATCAGGTTGCACCTTTAGGATTCGGGGAAGGGGTAATGGCAGCCTCCACCTGCAAAAATGTCTCTCCAACACCACACAGAACAAGGTAGTCAATGGCTATCAGCTGGATGCAGCCATTGCTTCTTCAGCCCAGAAGGCCAAAGGTCCACTCTGACACCTGCACCAACCTCTTTATCTATTCTGTTCTATGCACAAAGCAGACAAGAGGCCTTAAGATCAGATCTTAGCTCCTCCCGTCTGCCATTTTATTGGAGACCCCTGGGGTTGCACCAGGGACCTGCATGCAGAACAGGCACTGTGCCACTAACACGACCTCTCCCAACAGAGTTCCAACCCCACACACACCAACATGGCACAGAATGCTTGCAGCAGACTTCATTCAGTCTCTTGTTGCCCACCTTCCCCTTGATCCCAAGCTGCCCCTTATACCTGCAGGCTCTCAGACATGGATCAGTTTGCATCTTTCTACTTAGGAACACCACCAAAAAGCCTGGATTCGGAAGACTCCATAACCAACCTGCAAAAGGGGGAGGAAAGCAAACTAGTTAGCAAAGTAGAGTTCCCTACAATTTGGGGACCTGTCTCACCAGCAGTATTAGGTTGTTACCAATTCCCTGCCCACATTTTTACCCTGATCACATTTTTCCATTTCATGCATCTGTTTGTTCTCAAACCACAGCTCTCCTTTCTACAAGTGATCTCTGGTTGCCACCCTTGAGGTCAGGCTCTAGAAAACGGGAAAGAATTACAGAAGACTGGGCATCTGTTCAAATTTTATTTGCTCTTGCAAAGCATATTCTGCTTTCTCCCATATATCTATCCCACCACAGCAATCATGCTGTTTAACAACTTACAGCTACTCTGTAGGGCTAGATACATGCCACACACTAAGAAGCAACGTACTAATGCTGTTTTTTAAACAGCAAAACAGTGGAGGAGAGACTTAACCCTTCCCTGCTCTTTTCCATTCAGAATTTCCCGTCCCCCCCACACTGTTTTTTGCTGACGTTTACAAGAAGAATGTCAAAGAAGAATTCCACAGCCATGAGGGACAGAGTTGCATCGCTTCCTACAGTTTCTCCACTCTAAATTCTCACTTCCTGTAGTTTTGGTTTTTAAACAGGCATTTGAGCAATTGTTTGTTCCCCATTTCCAAGTGGTGACAATTCAGGTATTTGCCCAGAGACTTGCCACCAACCGAATGGCAAAGACTGCTTTATGGCGTCTCCATATTTATCCATTCCCTTTAAGACGGAAGACTCAGAGCTTGGGATCCATGGCTGTAGCCCTCCCACTTCAACATGCCAGGCATGTGATCGTGACATCGTAAGCTCTGTCAGATTCAGAACCCCCTCAGTCTCCTGGGGTGTCAAGTCCCCAGGAGGCACACATGACTTCACGGTGCTCAGAGCCCAGTGCTGACATCATTGGGGGTCTTCTTTCTCCACTTTGGGCTTTGCTGTCTTGCTACTCCAGCATCTTTCTTCCACATCTCTCCTGCGGTCACGCCCCAAAAAACACCAGCCAACCCTTCTTACCTTATTCCAACAGTGAATGCCCCTGAAGGCAGCCGTATTCACACGATGTTGCAGTCTTCATCCTGGGGCTAATGTTGGGCCCGTGCGCAAAACGACTGACACCATCTACCAAGAAAAAGCAACCATAGTTAGCAACTAGACGTTTATAGGAATTCGCTATCTATTTAATCCCTCACTGTGCCAGTAACACTCTTGAATAGGCTGGAGAAAGGAGGAAGAGAAAGATGGTGTTCTTTACTTCCAAAACTGTCTTGGCTCCCCCCTGCCCCACCTTGGGATATGCACTTTGGACTTGCCCACACAAAACATCATCTTCTTTCTTAAACACACACACATGGTTCTGTATGAAACCAGTTATACCCATTAGAATTCCCTCTAAGGACCAGAAATTGAATTATAGGGAAAGGTAAAGGACTCTTGACTGAATCAAGGCCAATAATTCCCACACTGGTAAGGAAGCACTGAAACAAGGGGAAAGAGGCGGAAACCTGGCATAAGCAGGGATTCTCCTCAGTCCCCCAAAATGTCTAGGACACCTGGGGGAGCACAGTCATCGCCATAGCAATCCGAGCCCAGTGCTAACATCATCGGAGGAACCCTGTTGTCACCTATAAGGTGCCATCAACATCTCTTATTGACAGTAGTCTCTGAAAGGAAGCAACAAGCCGTTGAGGGAAGGCCGATGTGGGAAGCTTTCTACTTAGGGTGCTGGGCCAGGCCTCTGTCTTGGTCCAGCCGTCGCCCTTTGGGAACTGTTAGCATGCGACTGGACCACAAAACCAAAGCATACGCAACACATACGGCTGTACCTCAAAGGGGAAGGCTGAACAGCCTTTTAGATAACTTACCCAACTACTGATTTTTCTGTAGAAAGCGTCCTAATAAACTTCCCGGGGACCCCACACCTCCCTGGAGCACAACCCGAAGATGCACCCCCTCCCAGGTAATGCTTACCCAGTACAGTAAGATTACAAAATGGCCGGCAGCCTCCAGTTCATGCTTCATGGCTTGAAGAGAAGTGGGTGAAAAGAAAGGCTCCTGCAGGAAAGACAGGGATGTGTAACTATTCACATGTGCTGGGAGCCCCCATCTCCTCTCCCAGGCATTACTTCCCCTTTGCTCCTTCTACACATGAAATTCTGCTCTTAAGCGCCCTTCTTCATTCCTACATAACAGCATACACTACCTTCTCCCCACACTCACAGCCCCACCTCTCAGTTCATTTATTTACAGTCAATGACCAGAAATACAACAGAATAGCGTACTTTTTAGCTATATCTAAATAGGTTTTAATCCTGTCGTATTTCTGAAGATGGTCATTGACCGTAAATAAACTGAACCTCCCAGTTTTTCAAGGGAATCACCTCGCTGAAGCCCTCACAACTCCCCTTTACCAATGCCTCTCTTTCCCCCACCTACTCAATCCCAGCGCCACTACCACCTTGGGGGATTTAGCTTTAGCACCTCTGCGCTCTCTCCTCTCCTGCTGGCTTTTGTCTCTCCCCGCCACGATTACATCAGCGACTTCTTAATCCGCCTCTCTCTCCCTTCACTCCTAAAGAGTCCCGATCTCGGCCCCATACAGTCCTCCCTTCAATCCCCATCGCCCATTGCAATCCTCCTGCCATTTTGGACGTCTAGTCGTGCAAGATAAACAGAAATCCCAAAAGTTCCGCTTTCCATTTTGAGAGCTAGGATGAGCTTCACCAGTTGGATTTCATAGTGAAATCAACTTGTAAGGGGATGACTGTGACTGCTATCGGCACTAGGGGCGGGGACAAAGAAAACGTAGTCCCCCCACAACACCCTTTCCGCACCCCGCGCACTCACCACCTTCCCGGCGCCATTGAAAAAGGAACAAAACCTTCCCACGTGGCCTTTTTATACTTCTCCCTCCCACCCCTTTCCGGATGGAACGCTCTCGCCTCGTTGTTTTGCGCATGCGCCCAATTGAAGCATGGGCACGGCGATCCTTCCGTCTGCCTGGCAATGGGGGTGTCGCGTTGCGCTGCTGCACATGCGTAAAGGGAGGGACGGGTGCCGGAGGTGGAGACGAGCGGGTGGGTGGCCGTTCGTCTCTCCCCTCCTTACCCTCCACGCATCTCCTTGTTCGGGTTTATTCAGTCCAGGAATCTAATTCTTATGAAGTTATTTGGAATGGCAGGAATAAGATCTGGCTCACACATGTAGGGTAATGAGGGTGCCGCTAAAGTATTGTAGCCTTTAATAAATCTATTATTGCATGTCCAGGGAGGTTGAAGTGTTCTCCTGGTGGTTTCTCAGTGATTCCATTTCCCAATCCAAAACATGTGGTCTCATACTGCAGGCCTCCAGGTGGAGGTGGGGGGGCTTCCGAAGACCACCTGGGGAGTTCGTAGCAGAAACAAGGTTTAAAACAGGGACCGTTTGGGTTATAAATCTACACCGAATTGAGATTCATGGGGTTTACTGAGAAGGAACTGTGTCCGCGACGGACAATTGCAGCTTTGGCTGCTATTGGTTCTCAGGGAACCGAACCGTTCACTATGGCAAGCCTTTTGGTGTATAAAATAGCGGGAAACCTACAAGTAGAATCTCATGCCTGACGTTAGCAGGTGCGTTTCAGTGTGTGGCCTCACTGCATACATTAGTACAACAATTCTCTTTTTGTTAGGGGAGCACTTTACTAGGGCCAGCTGCCCATTACGATGTACTTCACAATCTGCTCTTTGTTTAGAGCAGTTTGAGAGGAAACATTAGTATTCCCATTTTGCAGACTGGGAATGTATAAACAGTGATTTGCCCCCGGGCCACTCAAGAAGGCTGTAGCAGAGGGGTCCAGACTAAGCTTAAACATCTATCTACTGGACCAGATTTTGACTTTGTTTTATCCCAGCCCTGTGCGTCAGATCACAAAGGTCCTTAACCCACCTTTGGTGCCCTGGCTTCTCACTCCCTGACCCACATCGTCGCACAAGGAGGCTGCAGTGGCTTGTGGTTCCTGTTTGCTTACCTGCTGTTCTTATTACCTTTTTTAAAAATCACAGAATAATAGAAATCCCATCCTTCCTCCTAGGAATTCCGAATGGCAAACACTGTGTTCTCCGCTTCTCCATTTTATCCCCACAACAACTCTGTGCGGCTTGTTAGACTGAAAGCAATGCATTCCAGGTTGGCCGGTGAGCTTCACTGCTGCGTGAGGGTCCGATCCCAAGCCTCCCTGCCTCTAGTCTAACACTCTGACTGCTACTCCCTACTTGGCAGTTCAGCTAGGGCCTAAGTACGTGTTGCATTTTCCTTGCATCCTCTCAGAGCTTTGGTGATCACGCATATGCTGGGATTTCAGTGCCCAGAACTCAATTCCCAGGGGGTTGATTCAGGTTGAGACAGGGGTACATGGGTAGAGGGGGCTTAAACCTTCCCCTCCATGTCTACTCCCGTGAACACTTAAAGCTGCCTCATACTGAATCAGACCATTGGCCCATGTTGTCTACTCAGACAGGCAGTGGCTCTCCAGGGTCTCACACAGGTCTTTCACCTACTACCTGCAGGGCCGGCTCTCTCACTAGGCCAGCTAGTCTCTGGTCTAGGGCGGAGCTCCGAACAGGGCGCCAACTGCCCTGCCGCCCTTCCCCCCGTCAAAAGCCCCCACCCTGCCCAAAGCCGCTGCTACTAAAATTCATCTTGCGGCGGCAGTGGGCATGCTGTGCTGTGCCGCCATGCGCCTGTCCATAGGGCACTCCTGCCCGCCCCAACTTACGCACAGTGCGCCCATTGGTCCCCATTGTTGATTCACCACAGCACTATGACCGCACCCGGCCTCCGTTGGGCTCGGGGCGGGCGGGGCACAGATAGCCCCCCCCCTTCCAGGGCTGAGCTCCCTCCGGGGTGGGCGGAGTGGAGAAGAGGCGAGCCTCCCCCGCCTGCAGCTGCCGCCTTTCCAGGGATGGACTGTGGCGGCGACAGTAAGCCAGAGGCACTCTGTGCATGCTCTCGGCCCCTGGGACCAAAGCTCCCTTGAAGCTGTGGCGTCTCATGAGCAAAAATCCTACTTTGTGAGCTGCGGGCATTAAAGTTCTGAGCGGGCGATTTGGCTGCTGCATGAATTAGTTTGCTCTGGAGCCACATCCTTCCTGAGCTGAAGCGTCCCTCCCCCCTCCTCCCCTCCTTCGGTGGCGGCGGCAGCGGGGGGGAGGCGGTGGTGGCAAAAGGATGGCTGGGGAGGCAGGCGAGGTTCTCCTGCGTGGTGGCGCCTGGTCGCCTGCCGGAGGAAGCCTCCCCCCCCCCACAAGGAAGGTTGCTGGTTTTGGGTGGCGCTGCAATTCGCACACGACCCCCATGCGCTGCCCCGCTCCCCCCCCCGCCAGTAAAGGAAGAAGCCGGGAGAGGCCCGCGTGGGCATCTGCACGCCAAGCCAGGGGTTCGCAGCTTGGAGCGTAGAGGGGGCGGTCCTGAGGAGGAGGGCTTCCGTCTCTCCAGGCCCTGCCTGGAGGTTGGCAACCCCATAATTGGGTGCGCACTGAGGGTGCCAGAAGGTAGCCCCACCTAGGGCGCAAAAAACCCTCGGGCCAGCCCTGCTTCCAGCTGGTCAGGCCACATGGTCCCCAGAAATCAGCTGAAGCCCTTTAAATCGGGCAGGAGGGGAGGGAGAGGGGTAGCCAGGCAGGTAGTTGCTCTTGGGGGTGGGGCTTGGGGTCAGGGCTTCCCCACCAGCCAGCTGGCCAGGGGCAGATTGAAGCCCCCTGACGCAGGGGAACCCCTCGCCTGGACTTGGAGGCTGGCAACCCTAGCAGGGGCTGGAGTGAGGAGTGGAAATCTAGCAAAATATCCCCATCTCCCTCATGTGCAGCTGGAAAACGTACTGTGCTGCCCTTCCTCAGCCACTCAGAGGAGCCTCAGCCAATGGAAGGAGGTGATTTTGCCTGATTCTCCGTCCTCACTGCTGCTCCCTAGGGATGCTCACCTCTTGGTGGGACCTGGGGATCCCCTGGAATTACAGCTCACCTCCAGACAACAGAGATAAGTTCCCCTGAAGAAAATGGGTGCTTTGGAGAGTGGATACGATGGTATTGTGCCCACTGAGGTCCTTGTCTTCCCCAGGCTCCATCCTAGGTCTGCCAATCTCCAGGTGGCACCTGGAGATCTCCCACTATTGCAATGGATCTCTAGATGATCAAGATCAGTCCCTCTGGAGAAAATGGCTGCTTTGGAGGTTGGACTATGGCATTATAGCCTGCTGAGGTCCCTCCCCTCCCTAAACCCCACCCTCCCCAAGCTGCACCCCAGAAATCTCCAGGTATTTCCCAATTCAGAGCTGGCAATCCTACTCCATCCCCCAATCTTCAGGAATTTCCTAACCTGGATCTGGCAGCCTGCCCTCACCACCCACCAATGGGCAGGGGGGACCTGGAAACCCTATTCCCATGCTATCGTGCATTTTGTTGACAGGGTTCTCCCCAGTGTTTGGGGGG